CTCTCCCGTGTCCTCAGAACATCCCGCACCTGAGCCAAACCTGCAGCCCGCTAAATGCTCTCTGAGAGAGAAGGAGAGAGGGATGAGGGAGGGAGAAAGAACGAGTGGGGATGGATGAGGATGAAAGCATGTGACTTAATAGAGAGGCCAAACAAGGAAAGGAAAAGAAAGATGCCCACATATTACAGAATCTCCTAAATAGGGCAACTGGAATGGACAGTCGCAAAAGTTACAAAAATGATTGGTACTACCATGATTTTTTCCCCACATGTTTCTTTATTAAACATACCAGTCTTACCATTATTTGAAGTAAATTATCTTTGAATACCATGGTAAGACAAGGTTCTTTCAACATGCACTATACTTGTACCATGGTATACTATGAAATATCTAGGTCTACCATGGTGATACCATGTTGTTGTTTTAAGTGTATGTACTGCAGTGTACTTCCAGGAATATCATGATACTACCATATGTCCAAAAAAAACATGATAGTACCATGGTACTTTTTTTTGTAAGAGAATCTGTGGTTGTGCCATGTTTTTTGGACATGTTTTTTTTTTTCAATAAAAGTGCCAGTCTTACCATTATTTACAGTAAATTACCTTAGAATACCATAATAATACAGTGTTTTATACGTAAATTAAGGTAATATCATGGTAATACCATGTTGTATACCAAGTGTATGTACTTTAATGTAATTCCAAGAATATCATGGCACTACCATGGTATGTGTCCGAAAGAAGAAAAAAAAAAGCATGTAAGTACCATGGTACTTTTTTTGAAACGGAATGTGTGGTTGTACCATGGCACAGTGTATTTTGAAATATACCATGGAACTGAAATTCATGTATCATGGTATTACCATGGATGTCACAATACATTTTTGTAAGTGACATTGTGCTATTCTTTGAAATTTCTAGGAATATTATGGTAATGCCATATATTTGGAAATATAACATGGGAATAGAATGATTATTTTAACATATATCATAAATTGCACAATGGTATTCTTTAAAGTACCCTGAAACACCATGGTAATACTATGTTTTAGGATCACATGTTTTGGACCAGTGGAATTGCATATATTTTTTTAAATGTGTACCATATATTTACCATGGTTTTCTTTGAATTACTTCAAAGTACCATGATATTACTGTTTTATTTTGAATATATATATCACGGGAATACCATGTGCCATAGTTGCACCATGGTGTTCTTTAATGCCATGTTTTAGGACTTAGATCACATGTTTTGGACCACAGGAATTGCACATTTTTGAATGTTCCATAAATGTACCATGGTATTATATTAATACCATGTTTTGTTTTGAATATATATCATGGGAATAGCATGTGCCATAGTTGTACCATGGTATTCTTACCCTGTTTGTTCCCTGAAATACCATGCTTTAGAACCACATGTTTGGATGACTGGAATTGCATGTTTTTTTGAAGATGTACTATGTTTTTCTTCAAATTATTTTAAAGTACCATATTACCGTATTTTTAATGTATATTAAGAGAGTTGCATATGCTATAGTTGTACCATGGTATTCTTTAAAGCACCATGGTAATGCCATGATTTATGGCTTGGTCCACATGTTTTGGACACAGGAATTGCACGTTTTTTGAACGTACCATAGATGTACCTTGGCTTCCTTTTAATTACTTTGAAGTACCGTGATATTACCATGTTTTGTTTTGAATATATATCATGGGAATAGCATGTGCTATAGTTGCACCGTGGTATTCTTTAAGTACCCTGAAATATCATGGTAATGCCATGTTTTAGAATTTGGACCACATGTTTTGGACCACAGGAATGGCTTGTTTTTTGAATGTACCATAAGTGTACCATGGTTTTTTGTTTTTTTGTAAATGACTTTAAGGTGCCATATGTTTTATTTTGAATATATATCATTGGAATAGCATGTGCCATAGTTGCACCATGAGGAATACCATGGTGCAGCAATAGCACATGCTAAAGGGTCTTGGCATTAGGATTAAGGTTATGACATTTTGTAGATGTGCAATGGCAGTAGCACTGTACCATGTAAATACTATGGTACATGATTAAGGTAATCACCCAATACTATGATATTACATCTGAAACCTTCACTGTACCACCACAGTACTTCATTTAGAGGCTACAAACAATAAAAACGGACAGAGATTGTCAGGAACAGAGTAAACTAGACAAAATTAGGAAATCAAAGGGGGGGGGGCGATGATGATTGAACCACCCTTAATTCAATTACACTGCACTCCCCATAAATCACGTCCACAGTGTATTATGACACCCCGGATTGAGCCCGCTGTGTGATGGATACCAGATCCCGCTTTAATGTGTCATGTGCTGGCAGCAAAGACAATGATGTGAGCGTCTGTTTCTCTGTCTGTGCATTTGTGAGGGCATGAAGCTCTCACCTGCTATTTCCATCAGCTCTCTCACGGGGCCTCTCTTCCTATGTCACAAGTTAGAACAAGCACCGCACATCTCACCAGAGGTTTCTTAGGTTAAGTCCCTTGTGCATGAGCTCATCTGACATCCCAGTAATGTAATCTAACTCTCACACTGCTCGACAAAAGCCCGGCGTGCCTGAGAATCTCTATTGCATGTATACAGCCTTTATTGCCAGATCAATACAGAGGAAGCAGGGACGCTATAGTAGCAGACATTAAATGACTTCAGGGTCCATATATTTGCCTTTAATATGTTATGTAGCATTAGCATTATGTGTAAAATCTACAAATCAGTGGGTTGCTAAACAACAAAGTAGCTGGTTGGTCAATGTGAAACATTGTGATATTCAAGAAGTACAAAAAAAAAGAAAGGTTTTACCACCAGGAGTTGATTGGATCATTAAAAGCAGTCATAAAATTATAAAGACAACCTTTTTAAGAAATGTAATAACGTGCACTGAGAAAATTGACTTGTTTTCTCTTAGCGAAATATATAGGGACAATAAGTGCAGCCCTTCAATAAGAAAACTGACAGATATAACAAACAAATAGGCTAAATAAATAGATTGTAAGCTTTTATTGAGGTCTGACAGTATTTCAAGCTAGTGAATGTTTCACAAGCAGTGTTTTGATGGTGGTAGAGACAGTGTCCTTAAACAGGACAAATGGCATTTCTGCAAATTTTGCATCGTACAATTAGGGCTGGGCGATATAGCAAAAAAATTTATCAACAATATAATGTTTCATATCGTTCAGTATCAATAATTATTGACATTTTTTTTATAACCTTTTTTAAAACATAAAGCAATAGAATTTTTTTTTTTTAATTTAACCACTGTATTTATAATTAACACAATTTATTGAGACAAACAACTAATTTTTTTTTTT